GTTTGGCGGAGTCGGAGAGGAGGATGAAGAGGTAAACATCGAAATTGGAAACAAAGCAGGCGACTTATTGAACTACGCCACAATCCCTAACCCAACTGCTGCGCGCCTGCTACCTCTAGCGCCGTCTCAAGTCCATAGGATAAAAAAGGAAACGAACTTGCAAATAGATACGATCCAGTGACCAGTAACCATAATGGCGAGCTTGGATTTCAGGAAGATCAACATAGATCAATACGACGAGGACAAGATATTGGATGAGGAACTATATGACGCGGATCCCAGAGATCCCGCAACAGTACTGGCAGATGCGCAATCAAAAACTTCTGGAGTGAGAGGACTGTTGGCAAAGTTGGTTCCCTTCCTATCTCATATTTCTGGCTGGTTTCAAACCAAAGTTCCCGTCTTTTCCACGAATGCAACGCAATTCCTGACTTTATCTAATATGGTGTAGGGGTGATATTACTGGCGCTCTCAATAGTGTGTTAGAGAATCCACCTTACGGCCCAAAGGTAGACGATGCAAAGGTATGTCTTGAGTTTAGCACTTTAATTCCTATGCACAAGTATACATTAAACCATATGCCCGCATATTTGACCAGTCGTCACCTAGATCTTGACACTGCAAACAGTACTCTCGATACTCACTTCAACTAAACAACCCGACATACCTGCAATCGTGAAGTCTCTACCGTCAGAATCCCAAGATACCCTGATGAAGTATCTATACAAAGCAATGGCAATGCCGGGATATGCCGACGTCAATTATGGTGCCCTCCTCACCTGGCATGAAAAGGTTCGTTCAGGACAGCTATGACTACGTTTTCAGTACTGATGCCCCTACCAGCTAACCGAAGTAGCCGGAATTGGTTGTATAGTACGAGTTATGACTGATCGTAAGACAGTCTAAATGTAACTACTGCCAGTTATCAATGTGGCCTGTGACTCTGACATTTGTAAAAGAGACGAGTCTTATCCAGGTCCCTTGTAATAGGAATAATTTGCACTGCATTTGGGTATTTATTTATAATGCCACGAATTTACAAGGGCAAGACTATGAGTTCAGACTAGGAATGGGCAGTCAAGGGTATTCTCGAGTGCTGCTCATCACAATTCCTAGTAATAAATCTTGAAAAGCTATCAGCACTCGATTGCGTGATAAATAAATGTGGCAGAATGATTACCGACCATTTTCAGAAAAAGCACG